AATGATTGTACAACTTACTATTACTCTTACGTTACACAGGCTACATGTAGCCATCGGCTACACCTATATTTATTCTTATATAAAACAAAAAAATAAAATATTTAACTTAAAAATAAAATATTTTGTTTTATATAATAGGATTTATTTTATAGTACTATAGCACTATAGTGCTAAAGTATTATGACCAATTAAAATTTAAGATTAGGTGTAACATGTAGATCATTCTTTTGTGTAACAAAAATATTAAATTTTAAACAAATTAATTATATCTCAAAATTTTGATTAGAAAAGCATCTTTTGTATATTAATAAAAAAAATTTCTTGCAAAATTTTAGTATAAGCTATGTCTTGCCTAACTCTAATCTTAATTTTAATCTAAATCTAATTAAAAGTTTTATTTTTTATAAAAAAAAATTGTTTTGATTTACATATTATACTAATTATATGTTTACATATAAAGTAGCATTATAGTACTATAACACTATAATAATATTCCTTTATATAATTATAAATTTTAATTTTAAATTATTTAATTAAGTTAAAAAGAAATTTTAACTCAAAATTTATAGGAAACTCATATGTTTTTATTATAATATTTATTATAGACAACATTTTAGGCTTTACTTTTTAACATATCCTATAACTGTTAAATACAAAACCAATAATTTACTTCAATACACAAAGACAAGAAAAATGCTCTAAAGCATAACTAGTACAAAAAAGAATCCTCTGTTATTAATGTTCTAAAATCCTCTTTTTATACTAGCTATTAGACTCTAACTATTATCTGACTCTATAAAATGTCGTAATGATTGTCAAAGTTTCATTGTAAAATTATACAGAGAAAGTCATCTTTTCATAACACCTGCGACTATCGAAATTCCATTGTAATAGGTAAAACCGACACCCCATAGAACCTGCGAAATGGACGTCATTGTGGCATACTTACCTAATTAGAGGTTCCCATGACGATCCATCTGAAACATGTGTGTCCGGCCCCAAAGAAGCCATATGAAAGTATACAAGCCTCCATGCGGGACCCCACCACCCCCTCCAATTAAAGTAAGGTCGACCTGGACCAACCTGTTGCGCTGGGAATGGACGTTGACTCCACCTACCTTACTTGGGTTAGGTGTGAGGCGATGTCAAGGGGGTGCGATTAAAGACAATATGATGGGTTCTGGCCCCGGGATCGTGAAACTGAAACATTTCTCATCGGTTCTATGAAGGCCGTGAGAAATGTTAAAGTAACGAAAGGCTGTGTGGAAGGGGTTAAAGGTTTTAACAAATAAGGTTGGGAAGTGTTGGGAATAATGAGAAGAGTCGTGGTCTTGTGCGGGCTCTTCTCGCGTTCAATTCATTATAAAAAGGGTGGAATTTCTTCCTTCCAAGAGCTCAGTATCGTCCAAGAGTCCAGTAGAATTAAGAACCGCCTAGAATAGTATAATAATACAGTCCTATAATTGTATTACCCCTACAAAAATAATAAAATTAATAAAGCCCTTTTTAACTTGTACAATAAACCAACGCTCTTTTAAAATCGTAATACTTATCTTATAACGCTCCTCATCGATCGCCTCGACCTTGTGCCAAATCGAAAAGCCGCCTCTATTATCTTTGAGGAACGTTACGCGGCATAATCATTTTTCTAGCGACAATCCGTCGCATTTGCCCCATCTCTGAACCCAATCATAAAACCCAAAGTGGCTACTTTAGATAAATCGCTACTTCAGATGCGACATATATACGTCTATAACTTGATAAAAATAAACTTTTATAGAATAGTGTTAATGCTTTAATCCAATATGGTCTTGTTCAGATATACAAATCAATGATTATGTCAAAAAAATCTATTCGCTAATAACCTACAGTATATTTGTAATAATAATACGTATCTTGGGTCGTTGAGTATTAGTGGATAGTGATAACTAAATACATGTTTGATAATAACAGTCAGGGATTTCCATTTTTATTTCGACATGTACAAAATAGCTAATCATAATTCAATTTTTGAAGTATTCACCGTCCCTGTTGACCGCGGCTGATCAATATCACTATCTTGGATCAATTAACTAATTACACATAATAAAATGCGTCATTAGCTCGTACTAATTAAATTAATATTTCAAATATCATTTTCTCTTTAATCGTACAGGTACTATTAAAAAAAAACAAAAAACATTCTTTTACAAAATCGCAAGTTTTTTATTCAACTTATAGAGATTCGTCCAAAATTCATAAAATTGAAAAACCATCGAAAGAAAGATACGTGGTAATAACGAAATTGACAGTTAACATGACAATAAACATGACAACGAAATATTGATAAAGGATACAATGGAAACCAGGCAAGGCTAAATAATTTACCTGATCTCGATCTCGATCCCATTTACTTTATCTATTCGCAAGCAACTCAGCAAAGGATAATATTCAAGGATTCACTACTGGTTTTAAATTTAACCTTATTAATTGTAAAGTTAAAATTTTTCTTAGACTTTAAACTAATTTTTTTAAATCGTAGAAATTCTATAATAACTACCCGGATTGTGGGTTGTTATTAAAGAATAATATCCAGGCTGTGTTTGGAAACTTAATAATTATACTTTCCTGTTATGTTTGTGCACATAATAAAAAATAAGTATATTTTAAAAATAAAATCTAATAAATATGATACCATAACTTTGTATGATTAGTACCTATTCCATCATTATAACAATGAGCAAGGTTATACTGCCCTAAACAACTTCCTCCTTCTGCAGATTTTACATAGTTCTCAAAAGCTCCTGTATAATCTCCTATGCCTTCATAATAACAACCAGCATTGCAATGTCCCAAATAACTTCCATTTTCAATTGATTTTATATACCATTTTAACCCTTTTTCTTCCTCAATATGGGTTCTTTCACCATACATTAAGCAATATCCAATTTCATTTTGTCCACTTGCATTTCCTTCTTCTGCAGATTTTAAGTACCAATTAAAAGAATGGGATAGGTTTTTAATAACATCATAACCATTATCGTAACATTGTCCAATATAATATTTACCAGAAATTAAACCTTTGGCAGTTGATTTTAAAAATAAATATAGTGCCTTTCATTGATTTGCTATGATACCTTTTTCATAAATATAAAGTAAATCTAGAAATATCAATCCAATAATCTGATTTTCTTTTAGTAAATTGTTTATCTTGGTTATTCTATAACCTACTATTAAGAAGAATTCAAGATGATTTGAATTTAGAGTACAAGATCGAAACATATGAAGTATTGAATCTACAAACAAATAGGATTAAAGTAAGAAAAATAAGATAAGTTGCAGTTGCTTATGCAGATGACACAATTTGGATGTCAAAAAGCAAGAAAATGCAAGCAATTATGCAAATTTCGCAAAGGTTCTTTAAATTTAATGACATTCAGATCAATAGTATCAAGTCAAAACTGTTAGTAATTAACTCTAATATAAAAAAAAAGATTCATATTAATAGATAATTTTTAGCTATATGTTGCAAAAAAGCATTTATTGATAAGAATATTAAGAGTGTGGTTAAGTATAAAAGCAAATGAAAGTTAGTTATTAAAAAGACAAAAAATATTATGTAACAATTTATGCAAAACTTATAAATCAAAAAATTAACTATTGGTCAGCTAATATATATTAATAATATATGTATAATATTAAAGTTGCAGTTGCTTATGCAGATGACACAATTTGGATGTCAAAAAACAAGAAAAATGCAAGCAATCATGCAAATTTCACAAAGGTTCTTTAAATTTAATGACATTCAGATCAATAGTACCAAGTCAAAACTGTTAATAATTAACTCTAATATAAAAAAAAAAGATTCATATTAATAGATAATTTTTAGCTATATGTTGCAGAAAAGCATTTATTGATAAGAATATTAAGAGTGTGGTTAAGTATAGAAGCAAATGAAAGTTAGTTGTTAAAAAGACAAAAAATATTATATAACAATTTATGCAAAACTTATAAATCAAAAAATTAACTATTGGTTAGCTAATATATATTAATAATATATGTATAATATTAAAACTGAAATATATGTTGTGAACAATAAAGGTGTTCAAAAAGTGTCTAAATTGCTTACATTAACCAGTAATTAGATTAATTAAAAATAAAATAGATCTGTTAATAATTATAAAAAATAATATAATTATATATTAAGATTTATAAAGAAATAAAATATTAAGTTAAAAAGTATTTAATAGTCAGTTGATTTTTATACAAAAAGGACTAAATAAATTAGATCAGATTAGTGAAATAACAAGAATATGAAAAAATAAAGTTATATTCTAATAAGATTGATATCAGAAGAGTTGGATATAGCAAATACAAGTAGTTTGAAGAAGAACTGAAAGGATAATTTAATATGTTTAGTATTGCTAAAGACAAGTAAAATAGTATAATAGTAAAAACAGAAGGTATTCTTTAGTAGGTTTATAGTATAGGTAAAACTCTATATAATTTAATAGAGAATAAGATATTTAGAACAGTTTGTAAAAAGATAATAAAATATAAGTTATTTTTTACATAATAGTTAGTTGATTAAGAAGACAAAAGAATGATTATATAAAAAAAATTTAAAATATAATAGACAAATATATAAAAAAAAATGAAAAGCAAAATGGTTTACTAAAATTGAACAGAAGATATTAAGTAATCAAGTTAACAAAATGATCTAAACTAAGTTTCAAATACAACAAATAAATACTATAGTAATATAAGTTGTGATTAATAAATTATTATAAAATAAAAAAAGCATAAATAAGTATTAACAAACAAGAAGAATATAGAATCACTAATAAGCAAAATAGTTAAAAAAAAAAAGAATATGCTTATAAATTATTAGAATATGTCTAATATTAAGAAAAAAAGTTACCCAGTACTTATAAAATATAGTAAATGTAACTTTGATGATAAAAGCAGTATAAATAGTTATTAGTATTAAATTAAAAAAATATAAAACAAATATAACTTAAGAATAAGATAAGAGCATAAACAGAAAGTTCCAGTTCTGTTAGAAGAACTAAAAATATACAAAAAGAATTATAGGTTGTATCATCACTTTTGATATATTATATTTTATAAAATAAATTAAAAAGCTTATTAATAATATTAAATCTAATAATAAAATTAACTCTTTTTGTAGATCACTTATACCAAAACTACAAAATAACATTTAATTATTTCTCAACTTTTTACTAAATAAACCTTACTTGGCCCTTTATGTAAAGTTATTCAGCACACTTTTCTCCTCCTAGGCGGCTGTGTTTTAAGTTCCAAAAACATTCAGCTGCTGAGAAAAGTTTGAAAAACTAAAATTTTGGTTTTTGTTCATTTATACAAAATTTACTAATTAAACCTATTTTCTTACCTATTTAAAAGTTGTTCAGCCCACTGAGCTGAACATTTTGATATATAGTTTGTTCAAAACAGACCAAAACTCATAGAGATATAAGCAAAAAGTGAAAACAAAAACTTGTTCTTTGCAGGTTTTTTCATTGGCATTTTAGGAAAATTTACAGGGTTGCCCTGGAAATTTCACTTTTCTGGTACCCATTAGAATT